CTGAAAGAGGTAACTGAGAAAAAAAAGGGAGATGTACTATGACCATAAATGGAAGAACAAAATGATAAAAATAATTATTGTATGATATGTTTGTTTTTTTTCGCTAATAATAGTTTCATCTTCTTTCCTTTTCCATCTTCTTTCATTAACGTCCACCATATAAACAGGTATAGGCGACGGATAAATCTATTTTTGATTGCGAAAACATTTGGGATATTTTGGATAAAAAGAAACCATTAAGATTATATGCTTTATTTTCATTTGTCGAAGATCGGTATATTACAATATTTGAAAAGAAGTTACAAGAATCTTATTGTACAATATGTTAAAATGACTACATTTTGTTGCATATCACCAAATTACAGCAATAAAAAGGTATGATTTTGAAAATTTGGACAAATAGTTTCAAAAATATAAAATAACATTCAATCGATTCGATTCTATATCTAAAATGAACATTTTCTTTTGAAAAATATTTTTTCTCGGTCATTTACATGTTCTTTTATTAATATTACATAGATAGATATAATATACTATTGGTTTATGTATTAAGCCATATCTTATTTTGATGAAAAAATTTATTTTTTCGATAATAATAATAATAATATCATATCTTGCAGATGAAAATTAAGACATAGAGAAGAATGAATTGCGAGAAGAGATAAACTTGATACAATCGAAGAACAAGCTATAATATTATCAGGCGAAATCAGTAAAAATTGCCATTTGTTCAGAAATCGTTTAAGAGATATGAGCAAGGTCAAGTTTATAGATATGATTGCGAAGCTTTATTACGATATTGCATATGTAAATTACAAGTATTATAGTGAAAGTGTAGTTAAAGATAATTTTCTTTCAGTAAAGAGATACACAGAAAAAATGCTTTAATTAATTTGATCGTTAGTATTAGATAACTAATAAAATAAACATCGTAAAATTATCAAGGTACCTGTTAGATTCAGTTTGCGATCTTTACTTGATTGAAGAGAATTTGCGAAGAGTCATATTGCACGTTTGTGATGTGAAAGGAAAAGTTCAAAGAAAGGAAAATTCTAAGAATTCTTCGAGCAGATTTGATTCTGTAATAAGCATTTTAAAAACTGCTCTGATAATAATTACCCGCATGGAAAATGAAACTGTAGACAGTTTACGATTATCTGTATTTAAAATTTTATTTGAAATAATTGAATGTTATTTAGAAAAAAAACAGCTTGAGAAGATTTTCAAGACAACTGATGGAGTATTAAACTTGTCAATTATTATCGCAAGAAGGCAATATACAATGTTTTTTTGGGAAAAGGCTCTGAAAATGTGGCAAATTATGGCTTAAAATTTGAAAAATTGCGAGAACTTTATAGCACATCTAATATCAGATTTATTTCATTTCATATGATGGGGAATATGAATTTGCGGCAAAATCACTGTCACGAAAAAAAACAAACAATTTATCGCAATCTCAATTATGCACATATACAGTGGTAAAACCGATATAACACATTCGACAGACACATTTTCTATAGCTGTAAAAACGGTATTAAATATAATAGAAGTATAGTTCTTCACCACTATAGCGGTATAGTGGTATAGAGGTATAGTGGTATAGAGGTATAGTGGTATAGAGGTATAGTGGTATAGAGACATAGAGATATAGAGGTATAGAGGCATAGAGGTATAGTGGAACAGAGGTATAGAGGTATAGAGGTGTGGGTGTGTAGATGTAGATGTTCATCGGTTTTTCTAAACCACCCACATCCACACCCACCCACACCCCACACCCACTATACCTTTATAGCTCTATACCGCTATACCTCTATACCTCTATAGCTGTATACCACGATACCTCTGTACCACTATACCTCTATACCTCTATACCTCTATACCTCTGTAGCCCTATATCTTTATAGCTCTATAGCTCTATAGCTCTATACCACTATACCTCTATACCTCTATAGCTCTATAGCTCTATAGCTCTATACCTGTGTAGCCCTATATCTTTATAACTCTATAGCTCTATACCTCTATAGCTCTATACCTCTATACGTGTGTACCGCTATACCGCTCTGCCGCTTAGAATGCTATACGACTATATCACTGGTTGATACCGCTATACAAATATAGTGAGGTCCGGTTCTATGATTGGATCCTTAGGTCACGTATTTCGCTTGTCCATAACATCTATATCGTTGAATTTTGATAGAAATGTTTCGATTATTTGGAATTTGCCGCAAAATCAGATTCCACCATTAACTCTTTGATTTATAATACTCAAGAAAAAGAAACTCATTAGAAAAGTTGGTTTTGAATTCCAGATAGAGAGACAACAATTTTATTATAATAAAGTTAAGAGTAGTTTTTCTAGTGAATTGCTTGACCTACGAATGGAACAAAATGTCAATTAGAAAAATATTTTTTTGGAAATTATCAGTTTGATATAAAGATATTAATGGAGGTTTATCTCTTATAGGATATTATCCTTTTGAACCACGTTATTATTGAGCTGTTTGTCAGTTTTTACAAGAAGAAAATAAATCTCTAAGAATCATTTCTTCTGTCTATAAAATAAAGTATAATTTATTGAATATTTGAGCAAGGGAAACATCAAAATCAGTTTACAAATAACCAAATAAATATCTTTCAAGATTATTTCCGATTTCTTCAGATTTTCGTGTCACAAAATTATTTGAGAAACTTAATGAAAAAGAATTTTGCTTACATCTTCTTTCGTATATTAATCAACAATACATTGCATATGAAAAACAAACTGTTTATGGAGATGCTTCAACTTTTCAATATGATTATGGGTGATCTATAAAGGACAAGCAGAAAAAAAGAATGGAAGGTGAGTCAGCCAAATCAGAGAAGTTCAGACAAAGAGGAAGGGATACCTGTAAAAAGTTGAAAACAATCACGGACACCGCGAAAGCTGCAAAATAAGATAGAGTTTCAAACGAATACTACAGAGACGTCCATTCTAGGCTAACGTTTTTGTGAGCACCAACAACCATGATGACATTAATTTTTACTTGTGAAAAATGTTTTATAATAATTGTAGGTACTCAAAAACGGCGGTTAACATGAATAGCTTGATTTTTTTCTGTAAAAGAAAACAATAATTATCTTGATATCTATTTATAAAATATCTTGTATAAGTCAAAGTCACCATGGGTGTCCATGTTCATCAAAATGGATGTATTTCAGTTGAAAACAAAAACAGTGCAGGCTAAAACGAGTATCGATAATTTTAACAGGTACTTGATGGGGCAAAGGGGTCAAACACAAAGGAATTTGAGGAATTTTCGCTTTTTCAATATTTTTAAACCACAATCTTAAAGCAAACGTTCAGAAAAAGAGAGTCCACCCAAACCAGACAGAGGCAAGGAAAGGTCGAAAAAAAGCGGTTTTTGATTGGATGTCCGTTTTGGATAGCTCTCATATGTTGTAAATCGTTTTTATGGAAAACGAATTTTTTAGTGATCGATATGGAAATGGACTTGAAAAATATTCTTATTGTATGAATCTGTTTATATTTTCATGTGGTGAGTAATTGTATCAAATGCAATTCATGAAAAATATTCTTCAATTTCGTGAATAAAAAAACCTATTTAACAAAATTTTATATTCAATTTTAGATAAAAATGAATTACATAAATTAACAAAAGATCGTGGAATACATAAATAAATTTAGAATGAATTAATAAAATCGATGATTCAGATGAGATTGTATTACCCAGGTCAATGATTCCGGACACCAGATCCTGCGGGAACCGCCAGGAAAATGCAGGAAAATTCACCGTATCCTGCAGGAAAACACCGGAATTCGTCGGAACAGGGTGGCAGTATTCCAGTCGGAAAGTTTTCGGAATTTTTTCGGTGATTTTCCATCAACTTCCTTCCGTTTCCTGGAGGAAGTTCGTGGGAAGTCGCCGGAAAAAATTGGAAAATTTTCTGGTCAGAATACTGCCACCTTGAAATCGCCGGAAATTCATCGGATCATGCGGTTTCCCGCCGTACGTCTTGGACCTGGGTATCTGACAATATTACGTATGAAAATGAAAAGTTAGATGAATTTTTACAACTGGTTAAAGTTTTATTTGATGAAATTATCTATCATGCAAAACAAAATTCAAATACCAAATTATTTTAAGACATTTATTGAATACAGTTTAACAGCATGGGTTCAAAGTGAAATGATACATTTGATATGGTAGAAGACTGCAATTATATTATTGGTATTGATAAATATGCAACAAAATAAGATAAACATCCAAATACAACAATTATCGGTTATGATACTGGTCTTGATCTAATAAATACATAATGCAATGAATGTTTACATCCATTTTTTACAATTAAAACATCATTCTAAAACATCTTTGGTCAATTTAAAAACTGTTTTCATTTCAAATACAATATTTTTTAATACATACGCAAATATTTATGGCTTGAATGGATTATCGGGCGCAGAAAGTGAACATCAGTTTTTAAAAATTGCATGCAGTATCCATTTTACCATTGTTCTCATTGAATTGACTAGCAGATTGAAAGAAAATCAATCGAATTGTTTGTAAAAATATTGAACAATGGAGAAAAAAAAGTTATTGAAATAGCAATGAAAATCGTTAACAGAAAAAGCAAACGATCAGTTATCATCATTAGGAAAACAATTACAGATGTTAAATAAATAACACAATCATTTAAATAATATGCTGAGGAAGAAGTATAAAAATACAAGCAGATTAATAACGCAATCACCAGAAATTTGGATTATTTTCCAGATTTATCCAGGACGTTTAATACAATTGGAACGAAGCAGAGAAAATTAGTATAGTCTCTACTAAAATAAAAATGACACGCACAAGTTTGATTATTCATCAAATATTTTGTTTATAAATGAAACTTCCCGAACATTTGAATCAAACATGTAGTTTACATAGGCTAGTTAAATATTTACTGAACAATTATCGATTTGAACAACAAGCATTTGATCTTACGATAAGAAAATGGTAACACATATCGAGATAATTGATATTTATTTATTTATAAGTTTAATCTTGCATTTGATGATGGTGATCATCAATTATATTCAGTATTAAATGTTGTTGATGTAAAAAATGAAAAATATTACATTGAATTGTGCCGTGTCGGTGAAATACGTGATTATAATGAAACATCTTTATATGTTGAAGAAAATTTATTTACTTGTTTTCATAAGTCTTATGATAAACTAAAAACCAAATTAACAAGAGAATGGAAATTTCAATATGATATTAAAGATGTTCTGTTGAAGTCTATTTTAAATCAATAGATATTCTGGTTAGATGAAATCGATCCAACAATGATGATGATTGTGACTAACAAACAAACGAGTAAAATGAAAAACCTAATATGACAACAAAAATACTTGAATTATTAGAAAAGTTTATTAAAACAATAGACAGTATTGACAATACTGAGGTTTCAACAAAAAAATTGTTACTAGTCCAAGTGAATTAATTAAATTAGGTAAATATTATATGAAAATGAAGAATTACAATTTGGCAATTGAACTTAGAAATAAAATTATTGAAATAGAATCAGAATTTTATCAAGTCGCCTCTTATTATATAAAGCAACATTATGTAATAAAACAAACATGTTTTCCTGCGAAGAAAAGATGAAATGTATTCTCATGTATTATTAAATCCAGCAAAAAATTTATTTAATTATCATAATGGATTATAATAACGACGAAAAGTGATAAAAAAAACAAATAAATTTAGCAGATTCACTGGTAATCTTCATGACAGTGAAATCATATCGAATACAAAATGAAAATATTTACAATTTATATTCAAATTTTATTTGATCGAAATAATTGACACCTAATATTCTTAAAAATTTACTCACTTGAAAAATAACTTAATTTGATAAAATATTTAATCCAACATTTGATAAGAATTGTTTAAATACGATTTCAATTAATTATCAATTAGAATATAATTTGATAGAGAACCATTTACATGAAAAAAATTATCGATGAAGGAAAAATAACACTACTTGTTATGAGAACACCAAATCGTCAAGATTTTGGGGAATGAATGATTAAAAATAGAATATTTACAAATTGTTAAGAACTAATTTTAATTTCTAACAACTAAACAGAAATAAAAATTTAAATGAATTATTCGGAAAAGATGAAGAACAAAAATCTCTTAGTGAAATGAAACCAGTAGATAAATCCATAATTATTTTTTCAAAAAATTTAGATTGGAAAAATGCTGAAAATATAAATAAAATATGTATACAGAATTTGTACAATAAATAACGACAGTAAAAATTAATTTTATTAAGTCAGATGGCAACAATTAGCGTTGAAAAATTCGACTCTATAAAGCCGAATGATTTTATGAAAATTGAAAATTTAAATGACAATGAATCAAATAAAATATTTAAATTACTTTTTGGACAGAAAATAATTACAAATGATAGAATATTATGAACAAACAATTTAAAAAAATTAAATCTTAAAAAACTATGAAATTTATGAACAACAAATCATTTCATTTTTAAAGTTTCAATGTTTGTATAAAAGACAAGTATTGGAAGGATGTGAATGTCTATCTGAATGTGGATATAGACAAAGAAAAGATCTAGACTCATATCAATATCCGCACTTCTGCTCACACCTATGCGCTTGAACTGAAATTTTCACTAAACATAGATTGTATGATAAGTAGTCGATTGATATAGTCTTTAGTTCGAATTTTTCTTCTATGAAAAACTTTACATGCTACACTCTCCTATATATGAATCATCACTTTATGATTCAAAAGTATATATCAATATTTAGAACAAAAATGAGCCTGAACGCTTCAAGAATAGCATTATTTTGTCATCACACGATTCTTCGTGAAATTTTGCATCAAGCTAGTGATAGACGTTGGGAAATTAAACGTGTTCCAAAACTTGTTCGTATATGACCCTGTATTTTTTAAGACATTTTTGTTGATGACATGCAAAACCCAAGTCAAAGTCTCTTTCAATTTATTTTTATTTTTTGCTACTCAATTCTCATTAGCCATTCGAGCTTGTCCTCAATGAGGGTGTAAACAGATGAGGATGAAGGTGTCTGCGAATGGATGGGTAGACGAGTTAGCCTGATTAATGAGATCAAGCATTCACATTCATTCAGACCCACATTTACATCCGTTTATGAATTATTGAGAATACCTCTCTTTTACGTTCAATTCACCGCTACTCCATCTTTTTTTTATTAGTGTCAGAATCTTTGCAGTATCTTCAGGCTCTTTGCAAAAAGATCCTCTTTGTGCGGAAATAAACGAACACGACTTTTCGTAGCTCCTCTGTTACGATGAAATGACCGAAACAATTCACACATTTATTGTTTCTCTTTCTTTTTCTATGTGTGCTCTAAGATTTTTTCGCTCACCGGCGGTGTTGAAGTACTCTTTGGAAAGTCAATTCCATCACTGCACACGTTGTGTACATTTATTGCGCGTACATAAAAGCTGAGACTTTTGTTTTAACTTTGACAAAATGCTGAACATGATTTCATATTCATGTCTCTTTTGACTGTTTAAGCACATGTTTTTCTTGAATATTAGTTGTGAAATTCTGTCCATCCTGTAGTTTGCATGTCGCAAGCAAGTCCCATATAATCAATCTACTTTGAACATTAGAATTTACAGTGAGAATAGGGCGTAGCTGATCTTCGATTAATTTTCGCTGAGTTGCGGTTTGTGGTATAGAGATACAGTTATTAAAGAAAATTAGTTCATACCGAAACTTATAATGCGAGGCAATGTTTGAGCATTTTTATGCTGAACTGTTCATTGAATGAGAATTGATCTGCAAAGTTTTGCAAGCTATCATGTAGCTGCACAACTCTAGTCTCAATAGTGATTTTTTAAGACTTCAAAGATAGGTTTTAATGTTGTTCCTATTATTTTTCTAATATATTTTGTTACTATCGTGTATATGGAGTATTTTACATAAAACTGTGCATGTCATTTTTCTATTTCAGATTTCTTGCATACTTCAGACAGTAAATCTTTACATATTAATTTCAAGCAATAAGTTACGAACCAAGTAACACCTACAACACAAACATTAGTATTCGTACGATTTAATTTACATATTCAAGTAAGTTTTCGCTTGCTGCTGGTATACATGGTAACTAATTTAGAGAAAATTATTGTAAGTTTCCTGGAATGGGACTCTAGATTTAGCTTTACACAGGCACATCTGACAAGGAAATAGATGTTCATGAAAATACTAGCAAACACTACGTAGCTTCTTTCACCATTCTGTAAGTCCAACAGTCAATAGGCCTTGGTAGCTTTCTATTAAGAAGCAGTGTTGACTGCAGCTAAACTTTCAAGCAGAAAAATATAGCAACAAAGTAAAAACTTTGTTAACGATGGACAGTCATGAAAAAGCAGATATACAGCAACAATCATTATTGTTTATCCGTACAGCAGTCCAGCAGGACTAACAATGCAAATATGATTTAGGATTCGAAATAATACTATTATTTTGAATGTTCAGCAGTAGGGGTACACAAGCTCAGCTCACGAACTCAGTTCAAATGAGCGAAAGAACTGCTCGAACAGTTCTTCTGAGCGAACTGAACCGTTTTCAAACAGTTCATTTCAAATGAGCTGAACTGTTCAAACAGCTCATTTGAGCGAACCGAACTTTTGAAACAGCTCATTTCATATGAGCTGAACTGTTCGAACGGCTCATTTGAACGAACCGAACTATTTGTAGGGGTACTCATAGGTCCTCAAGGGCTATCCTATAGGGGTACCCATAGGTCCCCAAGGGCTATCCTATCGGGTACCCATAGGTTCCTGAGGGCTATCCTATAGAGATACCCGTAGATCCTCAAGGACTGCCCTATAGGGGACCCATAGGTCCCAAATGGCTACTCTATAGGGGACCCGTAGGTCCCCAAGGGCTATCCTATAGAGGTACCCATAGGTCCTCAAGGGCTACTCTATAGGGGACCCGTAGGTCCCCAAGGGCTGCCCTATAGGGGTACTCATAGGTCCCCAAGGGCTACCCTATAGAGTATCCATAGGTCCTCAAAGGCTATCCTATAAGGGTACTCATAGGTCCTCAAGCGCCGTCCTATAGTAGGGATATGCAATTTCGGTGAAAACAGTGAAATACTGACAGTGATGTTACTGCACTGAGCGCACTGATTGCAGTGGCACACTGACATTGCTGTTCACCGAACCAGTGCATATACTGACACTGACTGCACTGGTTCCACTGTCTGCACCGGCATTGGTGTTCACTGAGTCAATGGAAATCAGGATCAATACATCAGTGTTCCATTCTGTATCAGTGCAATAGGTTCAGTTAGTGTATCCATTGGTTCAGTGAACATCAATGTCGTTGCAGACAGTGCAGTCAGTGTCAGTATCATGAGTGTACCAGTGAACACCAGTGTGATTGCATCAGTGGGCAGTATACTGAAACTGCACATCCCTACCCTATAGGGGTACCCATAGGTCCCCAAGGGCTACCCTATAGGAATATCTTTAGGCCTTCAACGGCTACCCTTTGGAAATGTCCATAGGTCCTCCAGGGCTACCATATAGGGACATCCATGGGTCCTCAAGGGCTATCCTATAGGGATGCCCATAGGTCTTCAAGAGCTACCCTATAGGGGTACTCGTCGCGTACCCCAATAGGGTAGCCCCTTAACCTATGGGTACACCAATAGGGCAACCCTGGTGGACCTATGGGTACCCCTATAGGATAGCCGTTGCAGATCTAAGGGTATCCCTATAGGATGGCTCTTGAGGACCTATGGGCACCTCTATAGGATAGCCCTTGGGGACCAGAGCTGCCACCTCTTCTGCTTTTTGAAGCTTTTTCTTTTTTTTTTCTCTCATTTCTGCTTTTTACGATACAGCGTTATTTATTATTTCAATCAGCATTGTTCTCCTGAAATACCTTCGTTTGCATAATTATTTAAAAAAACCGTATCAAAACCTACTGGTATTTCTGTGCCATTCTAATTCTTTCTGTTTGATACGAGTGATTTTTATTTTCTACTGACTGCAAACAACTACCAACCTATATATCTGGCTTCAAATCAATTCTTTAGTTATGGTCTTCTATCATATTTTAATTACTCATGTAATTCATATACATCAACATATACATTCTTTCGTTTGTTTACTCAATGAACATGAATAATTAATATGATTAGTGAGAGAAAAGGAACAGAAAACACAGCTCTACATGATAATGACAGTTCGACTAGCGAAGAAAGTATTCACAAAGCAGTAGTAGTTGCTGAAGTAATAAATATGTCATCAGCAGTTAAACCAGAAAACAGAAATTGAATTAGAGTTATCTTCAATAGAGAATGGTTCAAAGTTGTCGAATATTAATGATCACGAAAAGAATATAAAATTGATCCGTCTCAGCTAACATTTATCGTTCGTCATCAACAGTTTTTCGAACATCGCTAGTAAAGAGCTAATATTGATATCCTATGAACGATAAGAAACAAAAAAATATTAAATGCTACGATTTAATCAACAATTATTTTGAAGTTCTCCTTATCATATACTGTAATGGATAAATATTTATTAGGTAAAAAAGATTTGTCAAAAGCTCTTAAATCAGATGAAGAATACTCTTTAAAAAGAAAACGTGTTCAATGATTTTGTCTATTGGTTAATTAGTTGTGTTTTGTGATGCCAGACAATGCGAGTGATTAGTATACCGAAACTAAAATCTAACACATTCACCACGACGGATCCCACCGATGGGACCCGCCATTCTCTGATAACGGGTGACCGATAACGACTGAGAGAACTTTGCATTTCGTATTTTAACCTCTAAAGATGTTTTATTAGGAAAGCAAAATATACTAAAAGACTCAGCGTGAAAAGCTCTACAATTTGGAAAGCAAAGGTTATTTTAATTTGTGTACTTTTTGTTTTTAGAAAAAAGCAAAATTCCGTGCGATCAACTTTTGTTAGAGAATATTAGAACCTGTCAGTGAGTCTCATCGTGGTGAATGTGTTAAAACGAACGGGTAGCTCGTAATAAAAGAGGCTCTCAGTATTTTGTTAACATCTTAAGTGTTACCTTATCGCTCATGCTTTATTTTTTTGTCGAAAGATTCACCGTCTAATTCTGCAGAAATTGGTATATTTCGCTGTAAAAAACACTTATCTCTCTTTCAATATCATCATGATTTAACACAAACATTACACACAACTTTCAGTCTTCATTTTTTTCAATTTTTTTCCCGAAAATGTCCAGTTTTTCAATTAATCCTGTTACATTTGGTATAATTTGTTCGCCACTGAAGAGATAAATTGGTTCATTTCAATCAACGTACTAAAGGCAATTGATTTTATTGCTGGATAAAGAATATGGCACGACCAATGATAATAAGACTAATCTAAGGACTAGATGTTTTCGGAAAAAATTGGAAAAAATAGAGATTTTGAAAGTTGTGTGTAGTGCTGTTTTTAAATCGTGGTGATGTCGAAAGAGAAAGAAATAAGTATTTTTACAACGAAATATGCAATTTGTGCAGAAACAGATGGAGAATTTTTTGATAAAAAAAATAAAGCGTGAGCGATAAGATAACGCTTAAGATGTTAATAAAATACTGAGATCCTCTTTTATTACGAGCTACCTGTTAGTTTCATATCGTAAGCATACTGATAGCTATTCAATTCTGAAGAAATCAAATTTTCATCTGTTTCGGTTTCCGAAAAATCATACTGATGGATCAGACATAATTATGACTTTTATCGCTAGCTATTGAAAGACATTCAACATTTTTTTGTTCTCCCGCAGTTTTTGTAAAATCATTTTTGCAGTTATAGTTGTAGAATTTTTCAAGAGCTTTCAAAAAATGTCTTTAGTTTCAGCATTGAATGGAGTTTCATGAATAAAAAACTATTCATAATAGGCTTTAAGACATATGCAATTTTTGTGTAGAGCAACATTAACATCAATGGTATTCTATCTGAAGAAACTTCATTTGGGTAAACTTCACTGAGTATTAATGAGAAATAGAGGGCAAATAATATGAAATATAAACTAGATGGTATTCGAATTTCAATTCGAATACAAAATGCCGTGCGAAATACAAATCTCGAGAATTGTTAAAATGGGTTGCGCATGAAAAACGAATACTCGTTCTAGGGATTCGTCGTAAGTCGCTCTCCAATTATGACTTCGCAATTCTATAAAAATTGAAAATATTTATCAGTCGTTTTTTGAATCGAACATTCAATCTAATCATGACCTAACTGATCTTACTTAGATTCAACATGACAAACAGTCTTAATTATCGAAATGATTCATTGTACATAATTAGCTTTATTTGCAGCTGTTTTACATATGAGCAAACAGAATAGCGACTAGCTTTTGTTTCCGATTTTCGTTTTAATTACAGTAGTTGATAAAATTTTTCGTACGATTTTATTTTAAGTATAATTCATTAAAGAAACCACCTTGTGACTCGCTGTTTCAGCGAATAGTACAGTCATGAACTCTAGTATATCCACACAAAAATTGAGCTCATAGAATTGAATTATAATTATATTGAAGTGTGTGGGTCATCTTGTTAATTCATTCTACACCCGCATCCTTCCGGGAAAACCATAAACAAAATCTAATCAAGACATTAAAAAAAAGCAAAAAGATAAATTTAATTGATCTTCAGTGTATAATGGACGAGCCAATAATATTACAGGTGACCCTTCTTTAAAAGAGATGTTTTTTGCTCTCTTACTATAAAGTTCACAATCTGATTGGGTAATTCCATGTCCTCACGCTTTTTTGAAAAAGAATATAGGTACCAACTCCTTTAAATCAATTAGATGTTAAGTAAAAACAAACTTAATTTCGATATTAAGTCTTAGTGATCAGTTAACAGTTAATAATAAACTAAGGTGAATCGTCCATCTTAGTGACAGCTACTGTGAATGATTGAATTCTTCATCATCTGATGTGTTGCTATCGATTATCATCCGAGAGTTGGCGTTAGACATGTTAGCCGCCGATTTTCCACCGCCGCCGCCGACAAAATTTTGATCCGCCGTCGCCGAAAATGGGATCTCGGCGAAGAGTTTTTCGCCGCCGCCGCCGCCGCGGTCTTGCATGAATCTTTTTTAGGCAGAAAAATATTTTATTTCTTGGATAAAGCTGTGACACTTGATCAATAGTAGCAACTTTCCAATTCTTTTACAACTCCCACGTCGTAAAAATGTTTCTTTTTTTCTATTTTGCTATAGAATACAAATATTCGAAGTGTTGACCCATATCTTGTAAAAAAAAGCTTTCTCGCCGCAGCCGCCGAAAATTCTTATCTGGGGGTGATCCATCCGTCGCCGCCGCCGGATTTGTGGAAAATTTTAGCCGCCGCCGCCGAGAAATTTATCGGCTAACATGTCTAGTTGGCGTGAGCTTTTTGCACTTAGGAAGAAAAATAGTCTTGTCCCATTTCGTATTTGGTAGATTTTCTGCAACTCTTGCAGGTTTTCTTGATTCGACTCGTCTTTCAACATTGAATGTTTGTTCAATTGTTGGTTGCTATGAGTTGCAATTTTCATCAGTCGTGCTTCTATATTGGTGCGTCTTGATTTCGCGCATTGTGATTGTTCAATGATATAACCCATGAAATTTATTATTTCGTAGTAGTAACGCACAGTGTCGTCATACCTTTATAGTTATATTTCTTACATGAGTAGTTCAGGAGAATTTTCGTTGGTAAAAAGTTAATCGCAAATAGTGAGTCTTTCTGGATCAGCATTTCTTTCTTGGCCAGTTTCCAGTACAAATTAGTCAACATTTTGCAGTTATGTATTGTTTCTTTTAAGTATATATTAGGATTTCGACCAATTCTTATGGCTTCAAGCAATACAATCGAACGACAAGCGATCGGACGTCGTAATGGATTCATTGGCTCATTATATGATGTTCGAACAGACGAATTCGAAGGTGGAAACTTGTTTAAAAAGGAACTACCGGAGTCATATATCATAACCAATGATTGTGCCAATACAAACTATTGGCTTGATTTTCATAATTCACAAAAAGAAACATTCAATAAATTGGACATTGAAGCCAGTCTAAAATTGGCCTTGATGGCAGGACTGGTCAATGTTGAAGGATCAGCAAAATATTTGGAACAGACAAAAACAAACAACCATACTGTTCGAGTTACGTTCATGTATCGGGCAAAAACAAAAGAAGAATATTTAAAAATATCTACAGGCAACCTAAACGAATATTTTTCAGATTATGCCTTCAAAAACGAAAATGCAACACATGTCGTTATCGGAATTGTATGGGGTGTTAATGTGGCTGCAACATTTGAACGAACAGTTGAAAGTTCTGATGCAGTGCAGAGAATTGAAGGTACCTTATCAGCAGCTTTCAAAAAACCTCTGCTCAACATTAAAGGACAAGCAGCAATAGATTATGATGATAAAGAGAAAGCAGATCTTGAGTCATTGAAGGTAGAATTTTCCGGTGATGTACTGATCGATAATTGTCCACAAACAGTTGACGGGGTGCTGAAAGCTTGCGAAAATATTCCATCCCACATCAAATCTTTGAACGATGGGAAAGGAAGACAGCTCGTATTTATTTTGTACCCTTTGAAAGGTATTGCACAGATGTTCGAATTCGAACTGAATATTGAAAGGTTAGTACAAACTTTCCAAATATACTTTTGCCTTAAAGTTTCTCTCTTAGATCGATAAGAGAAGTATCGGAAGCGATTGTTAATCGTATTGAAGATATGTTTGAGCAAATGATTGATACAAAACGGAAATTAAACGACTTTCTATATGACATCGAACCATGGAAAGAATTTATTTCTCCTCATTGGTTTGATTTGATAAAACGGAAACAACGAGAATTTGATCGGGAGTCACTAGCAACGCAGCGTAAATTGAAAGACTTGTTAATCAAGATTCGCAGCAATTCAGTTAAAGAATCAGAAATGCAACAATTGCTCGATGATTTTGAATCTAATAATCCATGTTCACTAACATCGATTGAACGGTTTTTGAAAGACAACCAAAAAATCAAAAGAAAAATTGACACATTGGCAAAAATTAGTCCAGAAAAAAAGGAACTGTTGAAAACTCTCGAATCCGTTGATGACTTGATATTAGATTTATACGATTATGATGTGTATTTATTGCATACATGCGAAGAATGGCGCACTGAAGAGAAGAAGCGAAATTCCTTAAAACAAGAGAGATATTTTACTAACTTGATGAAGACTAAACTGGAATCAAACAATACCAAAGCAAGATTTCGTGTAATTGATCATGATTTACACCCAAAATTAGAAGAAAACCCAAACGCTTGTGTTATTTATCATGCGAAGAATGGCCATATTGTAACAAGAGACTTTTACGAATATTCACTAAGTAAGTTTCTGATTGATAATCTGAGAGCTTTCGATCCATATAGCAAGATGTTCTAAGCTATGATCTATTGCTGTTGCACAACAATTTGAGGCTATCCATCGTTTTTCAGACCATCGAAAAGTGAAGAATCTAGGTCTGTAAAAAGGGAGCAGAAACCTTTTAACCACCGAAAAACTACCTAGTACACTGATATATTCGACTCAATATGAATGAGCCGATGCAAATTCTAATCTGTGTCATTACTTTGACAAATCAATGTATCCTAAAAAAAATGACGGATGACGTTAAAAATTTGTTAGCATCACTGCACATTATAGATGGCAATCAGAAATATTTTAAATGCATTGCTAGTCACTACAATTCTATGAGACAGTATTAAATTCTGTAAGCTTCCATTTGTCTCACGAGACGGAACAAATGAAACCGTCCCACATATTTTTCGAGACCGAGACAAAACGAAACATATTTGGCTCAAAGCTGTACTCGTTTCTACTACAAACCATATCTTTATATCTCTACATTTCATGTTACAACGATATCTTCTTGATCCGAATAAATAACAAATTCAGTGTATTGATCGAAGCATCAAATTGAAGTTGATACCATCCTATTTGTAATGTCTTACTCATATCTTCTGATTCCTCCTAGCTTTGACTTCCTCATTGATATGGCTGAGGATACTGCTTATACTGAAACAAAAGTTTTTGCTCTTTTGAATTGTTTTCTCTATCAGCATATAAATTTATCTTCTTTACGCGAATAAATGGTGGTTTATTAACTTCCAGTTTCTAAAGACTTTTTCTCTGATAGTCATCATTTTACTATAGAGAGACTGTCAAAAGAAGATTGCCGATCTGCACTTGTTTTCGTCTCAGAATTCAATCCACAATTTATATACGAACGGTAATCAAAGGTTGGGCAGCTTTCAATTTGTGAAAATGTTGTTATTGTCACTCACTAACGAGAGCTTTATCGGACCTTCCAATTTAACCTAGCAGAACAAAATATACACTGTGAGAAAGTAAAGCTCGACCACTATCAAACAATGCATTACATATTGAGTCTATCTTCTTCTATTTCATATACAGGATGATTCACTTATTTTTAGTAGTTTTCTTCAGTTTATTGTATTTGTACAAAACGTCGGAAATTTTTTATTTATGTATGATTAGATAGGGCATTGATTATTCTATCCAATGATATAGTTTTCATTTGTTTTATCAGATGTCTTGATTAAAAAATTTAACAAATTCTAAAACTAGCTCAAAGTAACTTTTGCAAACGTAACTTCACTCAGGCTAAGTTCGATTGTCGCAAAATTAATCTTAAAGGAAAGTGATCCTTCATACTTAAGTTTGGACCAAATATTGATTCAAAAATTTTTCAATTCGAGGAGAAAATAAATTTTACTATTGAAATTTTAGACACTTTCGTACTGCTTCGTTTCCGGTGATATTCATATAATCTGAAATTTAACTATAAGATTTTATAACTAAATCAGGCTAAAATTGCATGAATTAATAGAGAAATTACTGCTTTATCGAACTTTATATTAATTGAAAAGATTGATATATCTAGAGGACTACAATTTACTCGAAAAAGACAAATCATTGAAAATCGATCTAAAAAAATTTGTTAAACATTCACTAAATTTTTGAGTCAAAGTGGAAAGTAAAGGGATAAAAAGTATATAGTTCGATAGAGTAATGAATTCTCTATCTAACTATTCAAAAACCAAATATATTCATTTGCCCAATACGATATAATTACTTGAATTAATCGAGGAAAGCATTTCAGAATTCCACAGAAAAAAAAATTTTTTTTGCCTGCTTCACGAAACTTACTGATTTTTTGACCAACACGTCAGTCAAATCAAGTGAAAACTATACTGCTGGATAGAGTAATTAACGCTCTATCTAAGTATATAGAAATTAAAAAATTTCCGACGTTTTGTACAAATACAATAAACTGAAGAAAACTACTAAAAATAAGTGAATCATCCTGTAGAATTGACCTTGCTAGCAGATCCATCCGTATCTTTTGTCCTTGATTTCAGGGCCTAATAAATGCCAGTGCAATGAATTTACATCAATATTTTTCGTTTAGAAAAGCTTTCAAAGAAGGACAGAGATGATATTTTGAAGGAAAATTCAACCCTAACTCGCAGAAGTCTTTTGGATCGACACAAGCAATTCATGGAAGCAAAGTGAGTATACAATACTTCTGAAGTTTGTAGTGTTTGTACATATCTTTTATGCTTAGTTGCACCGGTGAACTGTCCAAAGACGATTTCAAAAATGAATTCAAAAAACTTTTTCCTAAGTAAGTTTAGCGAAAAGTGATTTGCTTTAATTATCTCACATCATTAAGTAAGTAGTCACTCATCAGTGAGAAGAGTTAGGACGCTTGGTAATTTCTATCTACACGTTTTATATCAGTGACAATCACTGCACATAGTTTCCCATCAAATAGCTTCGTACAAGTCAGTCCTCTGAAAAGTGGCATATATGAGTGTGTAGAGCGAGCTTCGCCAACGGTATGATGGAAAAAGGTAGAAAGGAAAAATATCGAAAGAGAAAAATGTCGAAAATAAAAATATCGAAAACAAAAATAATAGAAATGTAGATGGGTAGAAATGCTAAAAATGAGAGTATATTGAAGTACCAGTTTCCTCACTCTCACCTTCAATCTTACATGTTCATCTTTACCTCATATTCTTGTTTTCGACATTTTTATTTTCGATATTTTTCCCTTTCGACATTTTTCCTTTCTGTCTTTTTCCATCCATTCTCGCCAACACATCCAGTGGTGCTATGGAAAAATGATTCATTTTGATCTTTTCAAGCAAACACGAAGACATGTTAAAAAATAACAAAATTATCGAACATTATCCTTCAAATTTTTCTCCAAACTATTGATCTCTACGATCTTTGACTGATAGAAACTAATATGAGTCTGTTGAAATCATGTTGCTGACATCAAAAATCCTCTACACAATTAATCAGGCGAAAATTCCATGTATTAAGTATCACATATACAGTGGAATCATCAAAAGTGAAAAAATGATAGCAAGAGAGGGTGAGGATTGATAAGTGGCAGGACTTTTGTGACAAGAGCAGATGGAATTTTTTCCATGCTCGGCTGAACCAGCGTGGTCATTATGTTATCATTAGATATTCATCACAGAGATTTGATGTGAAACATGCTTATGCATGACAGTAATCCGGTGAATAATATAATTTTCGTCAATAATAATTGAAAGTCTCAAGTGATACAGATATTTCTATGTTGTACCGATTTCTTGGTAGTAGATACTTGCAGAATTTCGTTCTAAGGTCTCAATACAAAAGATAAGATCCTCTTCTTTAGAAAGTTGTAATGATTAGAAATTAATATTGGATTGTTCAGCTAGTTTTTATTTTGCTATTGTCGAAAAACAATCGCTACCAGAGAGTAACAATTATCTTTTGTAATGAAATTTTGACACTAATATAGATATGCGATCGACTCTCAATGATTGTTCTATTTCTACTAAGTATTCATACGGAACCTTTTCTCAGTTACCTGCTATTTGGAGTTACTGGAATACCATCAAAGCTTTGTCTATTAATCATAGTTATCGTCATTATTTATCCTTATTCAATTTTGTTTCTTCAACTGACACCACAAATATTTAAGCATCAAACATGTAGTTTTTATAGAGCAAACCATTTTCTATGAAACAAGCATAAAACGGAATCTACAGATTTTATTTCAGTATCTTGAACAATTAAAATAAATACTCTATTTTGCACTGAACATCCACTAATATGTGCTAATTACTACTAAATTTCAGGTTATTGTACATATTCGTTCTTTCTTTTTAGAGGAAATTCAGAAAGCTTCTGCGATTATGTGTTTCGAACGATTGATGTTGATAAGGGTGGCCAAATCAGCTTTACCGAGTTTATGAAAGCTGTTGCTCTTACACAAACAGAGGATTTAGATATTGGTCTTAGTCTGGTTTGTTCTAAAAATTTTTTATTTAACAAATCATGACATTTTGTTTGTTATTAGGTGTTCTTTGTTTGTGATGATGACCATTCTAAAGAAATTAATGCTAGCAGAATTATTGAATTTATCGAAGTCATAGCAGAGCTGCATGCCGGCGAAACAGCGGTAGATACGAACAGAGCAAAATCCATTGCTATGGAAATTATGAATTCTTGTCAGAAAGCTAAAGATGGGACAGTGACAGAGATGGAATTTATTCAGTGGTAAGTTTTGTAAAAATATGTATTTCTTCAGAGGTAGCTAATATTCCTTTTTATATAGCTGTAAAAAGGACATCGATATCGCAAAAGCTTTTTTACCACAACTAGAAGGTAAATTATACTTTTTATATTTGAAACAAGATAATTATATTTTTTATCTCTATGGCTCTCATTATTATTGTAATACTAAGATTTTCCTGTCTACGACTTCGATTTTGGTTTTTAATCTTTCTTCGCTCTTTACTCAAGAAAAAAATCAGTTTTTTATTAAAGACTTCTAATATTGTGAAGCAGAGACCCAACTAGGCCACTAGACCTGCCAGCCTCTGACAGGCACAGGCCACGGTTTTTAGGCCTGGCCTGTCTACTTTTTTCCTTAATATGAAAAATTTGTCGCATGAATTGAATTTAATTCAAGAAAACAAATTTAGTTGAATAGTTTTGAAGGATGATATTTAAATATGACAAATTAGACAAATGCTTGAAAATAAATATTGAAGATCGATATAAACAATGAAATCTACTATCAATATGAAGAGGTTCTCAGCACAAAAGAGGACCGCAATAGTCGATAAAAAAATTCTCATGGAAAGACTTTTTTTAGGCAAAACTATTTAACAAGAGTGTCGAAAGTGATCGCTGGTAGAATTCGCTCTGTTGCAACTGTTTACACTGTACTCAGATCGTTTGAAATAATCTATAAGTGTATTATGTTCGACTGTTGATCATAATCAGGTCTATTTAACTATCAATATGGTAGCGGATTGAACTAACTTTCATATTGTTTGATAAGGATTTTTAAGCGCTCCGAAATGTTAAATAAACATCATAGAAAAAATGAATGATCAGTAAAAAAAAACACCGGAGGAAAACATTTCTCTAGACGTGATTTGAGTGCCTTTGACTGATATTTCGTAGATTTCAATCAGAAGTACAGTTTGGATAGAAACTAAAAGTATCCTGGGAACCAACATTTAACATTAAATAGACTAATGAAAATTTTAAATCTTTTTGTCGACCTTCTATCATCGAAAAAAAGCACCTCAGTCCCCATCAAGATTAAGTCAAAATATGAATCGCATCTCAAAGTCGTGTCATTAATGGAAAAGAATTCTAAGACTGCACAATGACACTAGAACAAAAAGTAGCGTTTGTATAAGTCACCAAAAATACGCTTAACGAGATTCATTTGTTTGACTTAATATGGGGGAGACTGGGTGACTTTTCATTAATAAAAGGTCGATAAAAATATTCAATATTGGCTTAAGTCTACTCAGTGTTAAATAATGATTCATAAGACGATTTTTGTTTTTATCTAAGTTGTACTTCTGATTGAAATCTACCAAATACCAGTCGAGATTACTGAAAATCATATTTGAAGAAGTATCTTTTCGACATTTTGTCAGTGCTGAATGTTTTTTCTTCGATGTTTTCTTATCATTTCATAGTGCTTAAAAATCACTATCAAACTGTTTGAAACCTAGCTTGATCGATCCCTATAATGATAGTTAAATAGATCTAATTATTATCAACGGTGGGATATAGTATGTTTATTAACTATTTCAAACCATCTGAGTACAGCGTTAATGCGTACATTAGGGCTAATCCTGCCAGTGATCACTTTCGAAATCTTCGTGTAACAGTTATGCACAGAAAAAAAAGTAAAATCTTACTAGGGACTCTTTTTCCTCACATGTCGAACCATATTTTCCATGTTTAGCATTACTTGTTCTGGGTTAGTTTTTAAACCCGAGTTAATTTAGTTGAGGTTGAACGGTCTATTTTTTTAGACTTATTAGTCACTGCACGTGGCTCCTCTCTCGCTTATAATACTATGAGTGACATTTGTCTGTCAGATTTTGCGAACATATTTTTGAAGAAAAAACAGATTGTTTTTCTCAATATTAATGTGTGTCTGTTTCTTTATTTTCCTCAACACTTATATTTTTCACTTCATATTAAATCTAGAGTAAACCTTTACACCATCAACGTCTCCACAATGTGAACATCTCATTATAGTGAATAATCTGGATTCGCGCTGAGCCAGTTTTGTTCCAAGCCAATCATTTCATAGTGAAAGCCTCCTGGTAGTGAAATATGAATGTTTTTTTTCTGACTTCGAACAAATAGAAAGAAGTTTCCTGTGGTCAACTTTATTTTGTTCCGCTCTTTTTTCCTATATTCTCTGCTGCACAGATAAAAGATAGTCACCTATGTATAGTGAACATTTTCAAATATTTTCTTGAACGTTCACATCAGAAATTTTTTCCTTGCGCCATCTTAACTGATTGTATTGGTTTGGTGGACTTTCTATGAAGACTAATATTTAATTATATCGTATTGTTATAATTATATTGGCTACAAAAAATAGACACGCCTTGCCAGGCAGGCCAGGCCGAGAAAATAAGATGACAGGCACAGGCAGGCCGAGGAGGGTGTAGGCCTGCAAAACATCGGCCTGGTTGGACCTCTGTTGTGAAGCATGATTGGAAATGAGTGTTGAAGTAGATGACGAGAAATCTAGATCTTCCCTCCTTTCTTCCATACAAATCTTGACAGACAGAATCAATAGGGTTTTCTAGCGTCACATACCATGAGAGACAGAGATCCTAGAGTTATAGATAGACAGAATACTTCAGTTTGTCCAACTCTTAAGTAAAACATAAGAGAAGTTTCGAGGGTTATTGCTTGCGAGTGGAACGGATCGATCGTATTTCACATTTTAATCCCGCAGAGACTACGTCGGAAGTATTATTTGTTACACGATACACTCGAAGACATCAATGAGTTTCTCACAGTGCGATATTAGTTCCACTAATAATATCTATGAATGATCAATAGCTGCATTAGTAGTCTACAAGACCTTTTTTCCAAGAACACTTTTGTACAAATTGCTTAGAATTCCAGATGCCATACTTTTTATCTATTCAAACAAGTGACGTGAAATGTCTCATTCGAACTTTCTAGTAGTGATAGGAGGTTGGTTACGTATTTGGGAGATATTCTCCAATCAGTTCCATTAGAGAAAGTTAGACTCAAATGATAGCATTAACAACTTATTACACGTTAAACAGGTAAATAAGTAATGTGTCATCACATGTCATAGATATTTTCAGTTTAGGCTTATACGGAGTCTCACTTTTTATGAAAATAGTTTATACTCTCCTTTAGTACTTTTTATCACAATTCTTCTGTAACATCAACGTCTTCTTCTGTAGAGTCATTTTCTGTTCTTCTTATCTCTTTCTTTGATTGTTGATTGACAGGTTTTGACTTGTCTGACGAGGAAAGTACCCGAAGTGATTCATTGCTTTTGAGCTCATATTTTGGGCGTATAGAAGGGACCTCTAGTCTAGAATAATTCTAAAATGATTCGGACTCATAGACCTCCTCCACAGAGTTAAAGCCATTTTACTTGAGTTTTAGCCTATGGCACGGTATGTACAAACAAATCGACTGATGATATTTCGATTTGAAATTTTGTCCACAGATAGGTCTACTTGTAATTAGAATGTTCTGAAAATTTCAGCTCAAAAGTATGTTT